CCCAACCTCGTCCTGGAGTTCTACGCCAATGTAGAAAACAAACAGAGTCACAGTGGCAACCTCATCGTCTCCTGGGTTCGAGGAAAGAGAGTGGCTCTTAATCGGGATACAGTGGCAAAAATCATCAAACTCAAAGATGAAGGAGTTGATGTTAAACTGACCAAGGAGTTCAAGGCACGCGACCCTTGGCAGGTGGGAGAAGCGGTAACACGCCTAAAGGGTCAATATGGGAGCGAGGAAGTTCGAAGAAGCTCACTGTATATGCTGACTCCTTCGAGCATCGGTACCACTTGATCTTCTATCTCTTCGCCTTCAATGTGGTGCCCAAAAGGAGTGGAAAGCGGGAGCTCCACAATAGTGACCTCTACTTCTTGGATAAGATGATGCATGGTGTGGGTGAGCAGTTGACTGGTATTCCTTTGCCCAGCATCATCATCAGTTACATGCGGACCACAGCTTGCATGAGGGCCGGCGAGACTTGCTTTGGCTTCCCTTGGCTGCTATCCCTCATTTTTGAGAAGCTCAAGCTTCCTCTTGGAACTGAGCGAGCCATTGTCACTAGGTCCGCCGACGAAGTCAGTGTCTCGATACTCAAATCCTTGAGTATCCCTACGGATTTTGGAGCTACTCTAGTTCGGGACACTGGAGAAGCATCGACTTCCGCTCAGCCTCCACCTCACACTGAACTACAAGCGGAAACTCAAGAGTCGGAGGCACAGCAGACTCTTCCTCCTCCTATTCCACGACCATCACCTCCGCCGCGATCCAAGTGGCAAGAGCTCCTCAATGCCATTTGCTGTATGGAGACACGAGTCGTCGAGCACATTGACCAGACCGAGCGGATGATAACGGAGCGACTTGACAGACATGATCGCCGTCTTCGTGCGATCGAGGACCATTTCCATATCCGCCGGTCACCTACTCCAACACCTCAGCAGGAGGAGGGGCATATTGGTACATCACAGTGTCCTCATGGAACTGAGGAGGCAGTAGACCCTTGTTCTGAGCAGCCATGAAGATCTTTAGCTGATTACATCTGTTGTTGCTTTATTTTGTAGTTTTCATATTGGATTATCTTGTGCTACTTATGGTTTTTCGTACTTTTTTGTTTCATTGTGGCTAGAAGTTGGATGATCGTGAGGATTAAGGGCTTCAAATTGAATCACCACCTATTTGAGGGAAGTTTCAGTTTCTTTAACCTTCCTCTACAATGAGAACATTGTAGATTTTAAGTGTGGGGGAGGGATTACTTTATCTTATGGATGGTTGTGTTTTGAAATGCATGATTTGAGTTGTCTATGGCTTAAAATGTTGGAATTATATTTGAAAATATTGTCTTGAGGTTAATTTTCTTGAAATTGAGGTTGTTGCCAGGGAGATTTGTCCATTTTTATGGGAAAACTCTGTCAAAATTTTTCTAAAATATTTTCCAATATTTCAAATTAATGGCCAAAATGTTCAAATTTAAGTGCCTAATTCTTCCATTGGATAAAATGTTATATGTATTTTGGGAAAGTTTAGTCCTTATTTGACTTGGAATTAGTCATTATGCAATTAGGATTTTTACATTTTAGAAAGTATATTCATTTAAATAAGAAAAATTATGCTTAAAATTTTGCATGTTTAATGATATTTCTCATTTTTACTTAATTTTATAAGTAAGTGATTGATATAGTCAAGACAAGGCCAGATTCTTCCTTTAATTATGTTTAGAGGGAAAAGATTGTTAAAAAATAATAATAATAATATTATTATTATTTTTTACTTCAATGATTCACATACCGAGTAACCGGGGGTTGGCATTTACAAATGTCGACATTCGCGTAAAAAGGTATTGGAATTAAGAGTATGCTTAGCAATTTGAATAAGTGAAATGTTGAGTAACTGGGAATCTTCACCTAAAAGTGTTGATTTTCGCGTAAAAAGACGTTTTCACTATTTAAATAAAATGAAGTGAGAATAAATCCCTCTTAACTGTTAAGTTTTGATGGTCATGGGATAAGGAAGGCCATAGAATTGACTATGTGATTTAATTATTTGTGGAATTAGGATAGAATGAGCGATTGAGTTGAATTTGTTGAAATTAAAGCATAATTATTTTTACTTAATTGAATATTATAAGTATTTAGTGTAATCTGAGAAATGGTATAATGATTGGTTTCTAGATTTTAGAGGAATTAAATTTGACAAAAGTATATATATTGTTTTATCTTTTGGATCATTGTGGTAAGTTATGTGTGCAATTGCTTTAGGACAAGCAACGATTCAAGTGTGGGGGAATTTGATAAGTGAATATTTAACGTATATTTTGTACAAGTTTGGAATGAATTTGTGGTATGTTTTAAGAAGATTAAAGCCATATTTGAACTCTTTTGGTGATAATTGCTTAAAAATTGTTTAAGTATTCAAAACTTGATAAATGAGTGTATTAATGTGTTAATTTTGTGAAATTGTGAAGGATATCGATGTATGAAATTCATGCACGAGATGAAGGGAATGTAAGGATTGTCCAGAGGATAAAGTACACAAGAAATTAGGAGCAAAAATGAAGGAAAAAGGAAAGAAGTGAAAAAATGGGAAATTTAATGGCACGGATCCGAGCTCGGATCCGTGAGAGCAAAGATGGATCTGATCCCTCATCTGTACTTCTGGAGGAGTGTATCCGAGGTCAGAGGATCCGACCTCGGATCCATTATGGAAAGTCCTCGGATCCTGAAGATCCGAGCTCGGATCAATTTTCACCCCTCGGATCCGAGGCTCGGATCTGTCTCTCTCTTCAGCAAGTGGCACAGCCGTTTTACTTTACCTTTCTTACAACTTTTCCAGCTATTTTGAGGGACAGAAATCGGTGGCACATGCTTCTACAATAAAAGAGAAGACCAAATGAATTGTAGACAAAAGGAAACATCATATCTTTGTCTTCTTTTTACAAAATCTGAGTGGAGGAAATTATGAAGTGAGAGGAATAGACTTTCTAACACCTTTTATGCAGAGACACAAGGGGAGAAGAAAAATATCATATACGTAGCTAGTTTTCCTTCTTGTAACTAGTTTCTCTCTAGCTAAGAGTTCTTGGAGAAGCATTTGGAGTTTTCACTTGTAATCATATTGTGCAAGAGCATAGCAGGAATTGGAGAGCTTCACCATCAATTGGCTAAGCTTTCTTTTATCTTTTTTGTACTTGTACTTCATGATGTTTTGCATTAATAAACTTGTGAGTTTGATTGTTAAATCATTCATGAGTAGCTAAACTCCTTAATCTAGGGAGTAGATGAAACTTATGGCTAAATAATACTAATTGAATGTGATTTACACTTGTTATATCTTGTATTAACTTGTCTACTTGTGTAGCTGTGATTACTTGTTATTGATTGATCACCAATAGTATGTTTATAGTTGTTATTATTCAGTAAGAATTGGTAATAACAATGGAAACACATGAGTAGAGCTTAAGTCGTATGTTCATGAAAATAGAGATACACTTAAGTGGATTACTTAGCATTTCATGAAAGAAAACAGAGTAGTAGTAGTATTTCACCATGAAAATAGGGAAAACTTTACTACTCTAGGCCATTTCATCATGAGAATGTGACTTGGTAAATTTGGAAATGAATCTCCGGTTAAACAAGACTAATAACAAGAGGTAAATCCATTCATTTGTGTTGTTTATGCCATAAGTGGAATCTACATCCCTAGAGTCTTTCTTGAGTAGAATTCTTCATTTGCATTTAGCATTTGTTAAACTAGATTTGCAGATCAGATTTGTAGAATATAGCAATAAACTTTCTCTGCTCAAATTGATTGTAAGTCTAAATAATAGAGAAAAATAAGGGTCTAGTACTTGTTTCAATTGCTCATCGTGGGATCGACCCGATACATACCGTACATTACAGTTTTGGCCTGTATACTTGCAGCTACCGGGTATAAAAATCGGATTTAAACTTGTATTGATATAAAAATCCCGTCAAGTAGTTTACCATCCTGGAGTTGGAAATCGCAATGGATCTTCTGTCTCACACTCTGTGTCATTATTTGTCCCATTTTTTATTATATTGCTATTTCTCTTACATAAACACCATGTTTTAGTTCTTTTTTAGTTTCCTTAAGATCCAATAACTATTAATTGAGTAATGCACAAAATTTAACAAAATAAAAAAATCAAAATGAGATTTTTTATGAATTTTCTGCTGTATTTTTAAATTTTCTATTATATATTGCTTTTTTGAAACTATTGTATTTATTTTTTATTCAATTAAAAGTTATTGGATCTTAAGGAAATAAAAAAAAAAGAACTAAAACATGGTATTTATGTAGGAGAAATAGCAATACAATAAAAATTGAGACAGAGAATGGCACAGGGTATGAGACAGAAGATCCGTTGCAGAAATCGATGTGAAAAGCAAGATTTTGATCATTGGCGGCACCGGATATATTGGCAAATACGTAGTGGAGGCAGGTGCAAAAGCAGGGCACCCAACTTTTGCATTGGTCCTAGAAAACACAATTTCAGATCCTAAAAGGGCAGCCATCATAGAGAGCTTCAAGAGTTTGGGAGTCGCATTTCTTTATGTGTGTTGTCGTATCTTTTTCCCATTGTCTAAGCACTATTTCAATTCTTCTCAAGAAATTATAGAAACTGACGTGTGAACTGAACAGGGAGATCTACACGATCATCAGCAGTTGGTAAATGCAATCAAACAAGTTGATATAGTGATCTCGACAGTCGGGGGAGATTTGGTAGCTCATCAAGTTAAGATAATTGCAGCAATTAAAGAAGCTGGTAACATCAAAGTAAGCACAATGCAGTTTTATACATTCCTTTTTCTTTTTCTAGATCCGATCTCTGCTGGCTGTTGGACAAATTTTTTTCATTATCCCTGTCAACCCACATGTTGACAAAGAGCTATATTTCGTTCCAGAGATTTTTACCTTCTGAGTTTGGAAATGATGTGGATCGTTTGCATGGCTTTGTTGAGCCTGCCGCTAGATTATACAGAACCAAAGCTAAGATCCGCAGAGCTGTCGAGGCTGAAGGGATACCTTACACTTATTTAGTATCTAATGGTTTTGCTGGTTATTTGAATTATTTCCTTAACCCCTTTGGAGACTCTAGCTCTGCAAGTCCTCCCAGAGACAAAATTGTCATTCTTGATGATGGAAATCCAAAAGGTATCCAAAAGAAGCTTTGTCCGCTTCCATTTTTTTGATTGGTTTACTGTCATGTTTTAGAGATCATCGTTCTTAACTTTTCTTCCATTTTGTGTTTCGTTGCAGTCGTTTTCTCGAAGCAAGAAGACATAGCTGCATACACCATTAAAGCAGCAGATGATCCAAGGACCCTGAACAAGATTGTGTACCTTAGACCACCTGCCAACACTCTGTCCTACAACGAAATAGTATCATTGTGGGAAAGGAAAATTGGCCAGACCCTCGAAAAGATTTACCTTCCAGAGAAGGAAGTCCTTGAGAAAATCCAGGGTCTGCTACTTAACAAAGAGAAACTAAGTGCACAAGCTGCTTCTTCCTCAAAAAATCCTGTGTAATCCGGAAAATTTTTTTTTGATACAATAGTCGTCTAGTACTAATTGCATCTATTCTACAGTTTTAATTAAATTGGTTTCTTTTCTTGTATCTCATGCAGAGGCTTCAATGCCATTAAAATTCATCCTGTCTCTGGGATACACGGTTCTTGTGAAGGGAGAAATGGCCAACTTTGAGATCGAGGCTTCTCTTGGCATGGAGGCAACGGATGTCTATCCCGATGTGAAATGCACCGCACTTGATGAGTACCTCAATCAGTTTGTATCAGAGTAGCAACAAAACTATAATTCCCTCCGCAGCTTTCCATTTTGGAATGTCACAAAATATTTGTCATCGTAAACGAGAAATATGGGATGGAAGTAGTACATTAACCAATGTTTGTCTACCATGATACCATCTTTTGTGCAACATTTCTTATGTACTATTAGAAATGTGCTTTGATTGTTCATCTCCCTTACGGAAAATGTCATAAATGTGCCTGAAATAAAATCTACCCTATACTTGTTTTGCAACCTGAAATTGTCCAATTTAAGATATTTGATATCTCCCGTGGCTTCATTTGAATTTGTTTTTTCTTCCTGAGTTTTGTGAAAAAAATATTACTATAACATTCTTTTAGAGCAGGTTATGTAAGACAAAAAGGTGATTAGGGGTATCTTAACAAATTGTAGCCCATTTGTTTAGAAATAAAATTTTTATTGGCACTAAAAAAAAATCAACACTAGACTATCAGAGTTTTGATTAAGGCTCAATCACTTAAAAAAATTTACAAGAAAAGTAACAATCTCTGTCAATAAACTTTAGACAAAAAAATGATTAAAGGATACCACAAATGAAAGCAGCTTACTTTGATTGTCAAAATCAGAGGGAAAAAAAATATTACTACAAGAACCTTGTTCATGTCCCCTTTTTTTTTTTTGGGTTGAGCCAAGAATTTGTTACTTACTAAAATGTATATGAATTCCATACAGCAGACAGGCTTTTTGTTTATTTTTATTTATTGTTGCATTAACAAATATTTTGAACACACATGACACTCGGAATATCTTACCTGTTGTCATCCCGAATTTCTAACCTGTTGTGATGCTTTACCCCTTTTAGGCTGGCAGTCTAGATGTATCATGTGCCTGCATGGTAACGCTGTTGTATCTTTTCTTGTATCAATTGGTTATATCCTATGTTGAATCAACAAAACTTTTCAAACTGTGAAATCTGTGATCAAAATTTGCATACCAATTGACACAAGGCGGAATAGCACAAGTCAGAGCTACACACTATGTTGGTAATAGTTTGTAACTAGTTTTGTACCCGTTCAACGAACGGAATCGTCGAAAAATAATAAACTATTTAGTCAATTTATAAAAATGTCGATATAAAATACATATTTAATGTATAATCTATTATAACTTGTCTTAAGTATATTACTATGTGCGCATTGTAATGTAAAGTATTCTTATAATATAAATTTGAACATCTAATTCAGTGAATAATAATTGAAAAATAGAAAAAATAACACTCAACAATACCATAACATTCAAAAACTTGAAAATAAATAAAAAGTGCAGTAAATAGTATCAAATAACATTCTACTCTTTAGAAACTTGTTTTTGTTTTTTTCTATTGGAACATTCTCCTCGATTTGTCCGTGCAAATCAGCATTTATTGATTTTTCATTATCACTGCATGATAGCAAAGTAGGATAACTAAGTATAAAAAAATAAATGATTTATCGCATTCAAGGTTGTGTATAACAATATGTAAAGATTATAATTAAGTAAACAGCCAAAGTCTTTTAATTAACTAATGAATTTGCAGATATATCTAATAGAGATATTTATGTCTCTTATATTTATATCGCATTACTTTCCAGTGCCTTTTGTTTTTGGTTGTTTTTCCTGCAGGCAAATTAACAAACATCGTAGTATATGATCACAAAAATCAATTAACAAACATGTTAGAAAATATCCTACAAAAATAACGATGAAAGTACTTGTTTAAATCCTCTGTCTTCATACAAAACAAATAGAAAATAAAACAAAAAAAAAATTCAAGATATGTTACTAAGCTCTTACAATTGAAGATCAACATGCCATTTTTAATATATATATATATATATATATTGAAAGAAGATGTACCTGATAATCAAGAGGAGTGGAAACCCAAAATCGATGCTTTAATATGCCAACCGCTTGCACTGGAAATACCTAACTATGAATTTGATACTTGAAATCAATATATTAGAGGCTATATGTAATGTAGGCATAGGAAATAAGAATTGATAAGGTTACAAAGAGATATTGGTGGGTGTCAAACCTCCAAAAATAAAGTTAAAAATAACAGCCTAATTGCCAACCAACACAATCTCAAATTTAATTTGTAAACAGGGCAAATAGGGTCGTCTCCTCAAGGAACTGGTAGGCAAATCACATAGGAAAATGGGGGGGAATTTTAGCAATAGTACCAACTAATTAAAAAGGAATAAAAACTGAAATTCAAAGTTGAGTAAGATAGCGGGAACCAAATTACACAAATAACAATTAATTAAAACAACCTAGTCAAGGAATTAATCTTGGCAACGAAACACACAACTGATCACAGATACAAGGGACAATTCATATACTCACGAGTAAACTGGTTATAGTGGTCAAGCGAAACGCCCAACCACCAATCTTTCCTTAATTTTATGGTAGTCAAGAGACGCTCATAAACTACCCTCTTGCGACTAGACAACCCCAGAAACGCTCACAGGATTTAATGTAGCCACAGCATTAGGAATTAGAAAGACCCAATTCTAGATGACAAACACACATGCTGATTTATTTAGACTAGATTAATTATCCCCACGATCCAAATTAGACTTCTTGCGAGGCGGTGCAATTGTCTCGTTTGCCACTAATCAAGATGCTTAAAGGCGACGCGCCAACATCCTAATTGGCTATCAATTATTTAGACAATCGAATAACAGGCCTAATTATCCAATAAATCTAAACAATAATAACTCAGGAAAAAATAGAGAATAATCAAATACCCATGAACTTATAAATTAAAAATAAGCAATTAAAACGATCTCACAGTTATGGTGCCCCAATCCTCGATTTATTCCTCAACTAGATAAAGAAATTAGCCTTGCCTCATAACGATTAAACAATGCAAGGCTTTTCGATGGAGTAGAATTGTTTGCAGGGCAACAGTAAAAAAAAATCACCCTTCTCTGACTAATGTCGCCACCCCGAAAAGAAGGACGATAGTGCCAAGATAAAAAGATACCCTAGTCTATTCGCTGTTTTCTTTTAAAGCTTCGCCGCCACCCACGTGCTTTCCCAAGTAGAATTCGTGTTCCAAAAGGATTCCAGGTTTCTTCTTCTTATTTCCCTTATTGAAGTGTTGCCAAAAAGTCTTCCCTCCAAGGTTTCCCAATCCCACGTAAGTTTAAAGTATGGCTCCAAGGAAAGGCGGTGGCCCCAGGAATAGGACCCGCAATCCGGCTTTTTCACGCAGCTCTACCTTGTCTGGCGTGGGCACGCCAGAAAATGCCTAGTCTTCTGGAATTTGCCTCTTTTTGTCACTTTTAATACCACTTCGCCTGCAAGTAACACAAATACCAAATCTGGTTAGAAATCCAATGTCTTGCACAATAAGTGATTAAAATTAAGATCAAATACCAATGTAATAAACACTCAATTATCGCCCTATCAAATCCCCCCACATCAAGACAATGCTTGTCCTCAAGCATCTCAAAGCTTAGAGATACAATCACAGTTACACACATGTAGCAGTCCACCATGTGAGTATAAATGTCCTATCCTTTCTAATAGTGTTATCAAATTCAGAAATTGCAAGCCTTAACCCTCTCTTATAGAATGGTACATGACTACTCACCACACCGACATGAAATACAAAGGGTTACTCTCGCCACACAATAAAATGATGTTACCATATGCTTGCTAATATATCACATCACCACCACTAAGTCCAAATTTAATGCAAAAATCAAAGGGGCTTGATGAGGGTTGTAATGGGGCTTAGGCACGTGTAGGGTCAAATAGGTAATTTAGGCTCATTAGGTCAAAGAAAATGCCGTTGACCCATTGCATGACTTCCACTTTTCTTCTTCATTCCAATGGTTTTTCCCACGCGCACCCATAAATTTCTCAAGAAATAACACGTGCAAGCACAACAAAGAATTTCACCCAATTATCCCAACAAAACACACCTGGACAAAAGCACTCTTACATCTCTTTTTTCCTTCCCTTTTTTTTTTTGTTCTCTCTTTTTTTTTTACTCATTTTTTTTTTGCCCATAGTCTTCTCTCTTCTTTTTTTTTTCAAATACGCACAACTACATATAGACACACCTGCTAACTTCAGTTGTCTCCTTTCAACCCAATTCGAAATCATCATGTACTGAAATCAAGGCATTCCTTTGACACGGGATGGACACAAAAAGGTTTTGAACACAAGAGGTTTAGGGGTGACAAAATGAGTTATTAAACAAAGAAAAGGTTTAGACTCAACCGTGGCCAATTAGGGGAGATCTGATTAGGGTTGGTCTTTAGAAAGTAAAAAATGGTTAACCTAAGTGCCCTTGTCATTTTAATGCATCAAACTCAGGAATGTGGTCTTGACATGTATAACAAAGCAAGTTTTAGAACAATCCAATCATGTATGATATCACTCAATGAAAAAAAATAGAGCAGTTAACAATGAAATGCTCATTAGCTCAACAGCTCACAACAGGATATTAATAGCCAAGCCTTGCAAATTTCCTTATTCAATTCCATTATCAAGAAAATAAGACATTCAACCACATAATACATTGCTCATGCCTGTAAAGTAATTGCAATCATCATCATAGCATCAGGTTCCAGATATTTTCACTTTGAGGTCAACCAACTCATCACCTATTTTGTTTTCTATTTTTTCATTTTTTTTATATATCACGCTATCAAACCTACAAGACTAACAAACAAAAAGAGCTAAAACTATCTATCAAACCTAAAAGGTAAGACTACTCCCCCCACACCAGAAATCTACATTGTCCTCAATGGAGTAAAGAAAAATACAAAGTAAAAAGAAAGGAAATGGAGCTTCCCTGAGGGCCAACGAGGGTACGAGAGCACTACGGGGGAGGAGGATGAGGCGGCGAAAAACCGATGTGGGCGAAGAAGGCATCGTTAGTAGTAGTTTGGGACGGATAGGCTGGCATGGGCACGCCTTGTAAGCAAGAGTCTTCTGTCCAATGTCATAGAGTATGACTAGCACTATCTGTTGTGC